TATACGTTTGAAACTTGGAATTGTAACTATCTATATCCAATTCATCACGTAGGTCCATAACTATTGTCAATTTTAATGGTTTATCAATTTGACCAAACGGGTTTGTGATTGCATATTTTGTGAAAACCATAGAATATGCATCGAGCAAGCCATTTATATTTGCCTTTGGTTCAATTTGAAATCGTTTCCACTCGCCAAAATTAAGTGACTTAAATAACTGTTTATTGGTAATTTTCAATTCACTGTCGTTAATGACTTTTATAATTTGACGTTTTTCATTACCAATAACTAAAAAGTCTCCAATCTGAAGATCATTGGTGAATTTTGTGTTTTGGCCAATGATTGTAAATGGATCATAACTTTCTATTTTTACTTTTCCTAAAGCTTTTTCTTTAGTTTTTCGTTCAAAACGGAATTTAGTCTTTGCATGCGTGATTTTAACCATCAAGGATTGTAAAATGTTATTATATAAATCAATTGTTACCAAGTGAACTTGCTTATCTGCAAGCGAAGTAAATTGGAAAAGCTCAATGTTTGGATTAGTAAATGGAACTTCGATTACTTTGTTTGCATCTTTACTAAACTTCTCTAAAAAATATACATAACCACGAACAACTTCTCTACTTAATGCTTGAGTTGTATCTTGATGTAATTCGGTTTCTATTGCTTCTTTATTCTTGGCTATATTATCAATACTTGATGATTTTGTTGTTTCATTATTTGTTCGCATTTCTGAACATATATTCTCGGGAATTGCTTTGATTACTTTATTTTTTCCTTCGGATGCATTTGTTTCATTAGTATTCAGTAATTCGGTTTCACTATTTGTCATTTCTGAACACGCATTCTTGGGAATTGTTTCGATTACTTTGTTTTTTCCTTCGGATACATCAATATCAAGTTTTTCTTTCACGAACGAAACAAAACAAGCTCCATCTGGTGTACTCATTACTCGAGTACAATTAGCTGGGAGTTTAGCAGATCCGGCTCGAAAATTGTCATTTATCAAACTATAGATTCGAGCTTCACCATTTTCTTTCACAAAACAAACGTCTCGACTGACTACAAATTGACTTTTAAAAAGTACAAGGTTTGAAAGTGCTGCGTTCAAAAGTTGTAAAAAT